ATCTCTTCCAGTCAGTTGGTCAGGTGGTTGTTCTCCAGATTTCTTGGCACAACTTGGTGAGCACATCAGGGGCAGCATCTGTTAGCTGAAATACGTCAATTGGTATATCATCTACTCTGGGGGCCTTATTTTTTGCTCTTTCCTTCAAAACACCTTGAACTTCTTCCTTCAACACCATAGACTCTTGCTCAAATGTTATTTCATTAAATTCTTCTGTATCTGCCAACTCCTTTCGATATAATGAATCAGTATATTCCTTCCATCTTCTTTTGATACCTCCTGGATCATTTAACATTCTGCCTAAAGCGTCGTTGATTACAGCAACTCGAGGTTTGAATTTGTTCTTCAGTTCCTTGAGCTTAAGAAATGCTGAACGAGTTCTGCCCTTTTGATTTTCTGACTCTAGCTCCTCGCACATTTCATTGTAGTATTTTGCTTTGTCATTCTGTGCTGCGTTTTGGAATCTTCTGTTCAGCTCTTTAGTGTCTTGAATTCTTCCTTGAGCTTTGGCTTCTCTACGTTCCAGTGTAATCTTCAGAGTTTCTTCTGACATCCATTTTGTTCTTTTCTTCCTCTTCTGTCTTTGTAATGACTGTTTGCACTCTTCCTGAATGATACATTTAACATCCTCCCACAATTCATCTGGTCTTCGCTCACCAGTGTTCAAGGCCTCAAATCTGTTCCTGAGATGATTCAGAAATTCAGGTAGGATGAAATTAAAGTCATATTTCGGCTCCTGTGGATTCAGTTTAATTTTCCTCAGATTCAACTTGAACTTGCATATTAGTTGGTGGTCTGTTCCACAATCAGCCCCTGGCCTAGTTTTCACAGCTGATATTGAGCTTCTCCAGTGGTTTTTTTCCACAGATGTAATCGATCTGATTCCTATGCATACCATCAGGTGAAATCCATGTGTATAACCTTTACAAGTAATAGTATAGAGATAAATAAATTCAACAACCCAAATCATTACGTTCCAATCAAAACTGACCAAGCATAGCTGATTTACCAGCATTTCATTGCATAGGAAGAGACTATCCATCTTTCTTCCATGAAGCAGCTGGTGGATTCGAAATTCTTACTTTTGGGTTGGCAAAATAACTCCTTACCATTAGCCCACCAATGCTCCTTGAAGTAGATAGTAATAGGGGAAAAGAGTAAAGAAATAGTTTGGAAAACAAAACACCTAACCAATGTAATTTCTGTAATTCTATCCTTTACTCGTGTTTATAGATAAAGCAGCTTTCCCACTGTTCTTTGTTGGTTCTCATTAATACTGAAACCTTAGCTTTACATGTTAACTCCTTAGAGATGTGAACTCACATGGTCTATATTAAAGAAAAAATAATAAAAAATCTAGTGGCACAATTTGCCAGCTAGCCAAAAACTTGTTGGTTTGAAAGGCTCTTCAAGAGAAAGATTTAGTGATCTGCTTCCATAAAGATTATACACAAGAAAAGTCTATGGAGGAGTTCTATCCTGTCATATCAGGTGGCTCCAAAAGTTAGAACTGAATGGTCAGAACCAAATAGTAATGATGTATTTTTTAAAAATAAATCTTATTACATTTTTGTAATACTTTAATATTGATACTGTTGTGTTGTTATGTACTGTCAAGTTGCTTGTGACTCATAATAACTGTATGAATAGCCCCGAAACCTGCTCTATCCTGTGCCAAGTTTACTGTTTCTGACACACTTACCTTCATTACCCCAGCCATTGAATCAATCCATCTCACTGATGGTTTCTTTACTTTCTCTGTCCCTACATCCTTCCAAGCCTGATGTTCCTCTCTGAGGACTGGTCCCTTCTTGTAACATGCCCAAAGTATGTCAGATGAAACCTCAGAATCCCTGCCTCCAAGGAGCAGGCTGGTCTCACCCCACTCCAATTACCCCAGTCACTGAATCAATCCACCTCATAAAGGGTCTTCCTCTTGTGCGCTGTCCCTCTTCCCTCTCAAGCATGATGTCCCTTTCCAAGGACTGGGTACTCCGCGCATGTCCAAAATATGTGAGACAAATCTTTAGAATCCTTGCCTCCAAGGAGCAGGCTGGCTTCACCCTCTCTAGGATGAACCTATTTATTCTCCTGATTGATCCTAGGAAATAATTTTACTTACATGACAGGGAGTATATCAAACCTTTGTTACTATTAACAATAATTAATAGCATATAACTAAATGGATAATATAAATCCTTGTTTACTTATTAAAGAATGGTGGAAACATAACAATCATGCTTTTATTCAACATATAGTATTTTCAGCATTATAGTTTGATTTAGCAAAAGATTGGTTCTAAGTCAGGACACAGACATCTTTTGTGTGTGTGTGTGTGTGTGTGTGTACACGTGTGTGCGTGTGTGTGTTCACCTTGTTGGTGAAAGGTTGGAGATTTGAATATACTAGTGGCTCCATAGGCTCTTGTAATGATTTACAGCCTTAGAAACTCTATGGCGCAGTTCTGTTGTACAGAATCATAGAATCAGAACTGATGAAATGACAGTAAGATACAGGTATATAGATACAGACATTGGCAGGAGTTTTGATGGTCTAAAACGCCTTACCTAGTGGTAAAGAGTTCTGCTGCCATTTAGATCCTCCCAGAAGAGCTGTGGGTGAGCATTAACATTACTGGTAAGTATATTCATTTTCTCCTGGACACAGAGCCTACTAATTGGTCCTAAAAGCCTTCTGAGGTCCCAACTCTTCTCACTATTTCTTAGTTGTTGGAATGGACGGAAAACCTCATAAGCAGTTCCTTACTTCACCTCTAGCTTGCATGCGAACCTCCGAGTTGTAAAACAATCCAGTGGTAGATGGAATTTGCTCCAGGACTTAAGAAGCATAAATGACATAGCTGAGCCTCTACATCTTGTGGTTCCTCACCTCTACACTATAACAGACAAAGTGCTAATCTATAGGCCTTTTATTGTAAGAACCACCTTTCCTCTGTAACTTGATTTGTGCCACTACTAGAACCTCTACTCAGAATATCATTGCTTTTTAATTTTTGACTCATGTACTTTTAACTTGTTAAATTTGTGTCTTCTAGGCTGCAACACTTCCATGATACATCTTCAAGGATATGAACATGTATGGCTAAGCACAATTCATAACAGTGCATCTAAATTCCAAAATCAATCCCCATAATAGTCTACATGTTTCCTACTGCCAAAGGGGCCCTTTAGAGTAGTGAGAGAAGATCGCCATCCCCTTTTCCTTATGAATCAGGGTGAAGTCTCTCTCAGGGAGGAGTGATAGGGAATGGCAAAGGACACACTGACAAAGGAGACTAATCAGAACTGGCTTTGAAAAGCACTGTGGCAATTGGACAATCAAAACAGACATGGGAGGGGAAAGAAGAATGAACTGGGGAGGAGGGTAGAGAAAACAGTGCAGCAATCAATGAATGAAAACCCAAAATCTCTGTAAATGTTCATTAAAACTAATAAAATTTAGTAACAATTTAAAAAGAAAAAAAGAGTTCTTCTGCCAACCCAAAATGCAAGCAGTTTGAATGTGCCAGCTAAACTATGGGAGAAAAATGAGCAATCCTCTGTTACGCAATTTTTAGTATCTGATAATTAGCTGGAGGGTCAGGTATGAGTCAGTTCCAAATGGATGGTACACAACAAGATATCTATCTATCTAGCTGTTGTTTTTGCTTGAGTACTGTTGAGTCAGAACCAACCCATTAGCTGACCCTCCAGCAGGTTTTCAGAGGCAGTTTATCAGATGGAAGGAGAATACCTATCTCCCAGAGAGCAATCAGTGGGTTCAAAGTATATGCCTTTGAGTAGCCCAAAGAGAAAGAGAAAGATACAGAGATAGATACAAACATACACAGATACCTTCAAACAACTCAAAATAATCAGCAGACTGTCCAAGTGAATAATATGATCAAACTCTATGTGGAACAAGCCAAATCATTTTACCTTTATCTTTCTGGGCAAGTTTCATCACGCATAAAGGCTAACTGTGTCACTGAAGATGACAGTATCTTTAGCAAATAGCCTCTTTTATTAAAAAAATAAACTTTAAATTACTTTGAGAATTATCCTTCATAAATGAATTCATTTTAAAAGGGCTGTATGTAAAGCACCTACCCATAACAATACATATATTTATATATAAATTTAAATGAGATATACTCATAGATTTGTTAGAATACTAAATATTGACTCAAGTTTAAAAAAAAACTGGATCATTATTTCTAACATCATTTTCCACTTCCGCTTTAGTATCAATCCCCCACTTTACCACAGAGTAGATAACATTTGCTTTGAAAATTCTGTGCCATGCAGAATTAATAATCTTGTCTCAATAATGGAAACAGAACGAATACAGTGGGTTGACTCTAATACAAAAAGCACCACTTTTCTAATTAAAAAGAAGGTAGAATATAAGAAAGTGTGTATGGTACAAGTGAAGTGGTTGATGATAGATGAGTGACCAATACTAAAACATATCTCTCTGTTAAGGACTCTTTTGAAATTTTATGTTTTAGAAACATAGCTGTAAGAAGACACTTCTACATTACTATTAACAAGCTCAAATAAATACCCATTTCCTATTAAGTGACAGCACTGTGTAAAGGACCAAGGAGGGTGATTAAATAGCAATTCTGGCCTTAAAGAATTTGTATTCTAAAGAATTATAAAAAAATTTAGGTACACACTACAAGGAGTACAAAGTTATGGCAAGATAAAGAGGAAGACGTTAAAGTGATTCTACATGCTACTTCCACTCAGAGTGAACAACTATTTCCATGTAGTTCTAATTAAAAAAAAAAATAGAGCCACTACTTTCATGCTAATATTTAACATAGCCTTTTCCACTAAGGTTTAAGTTCACAGCTCATGTTCTAACTCGGGTAGGTACTTGTTACCGGTGACTTGGAGGAGGTCATAACGTCTTGGAGAAATCTTTCTGGAGGCTAGGTTAATAGACCGCTCCTTTCAGGTCCTCCTGGGAGCCCTACTGGGAATCTGCCTCACCTGACAGTCCTGACGACGAAATACACGAGTACAGCGCCAGTCACAACCATCAATACAGTCAGGGCTCTCTGGGTCATGGGCTTGTCGCTGGGATTAGGGCTAACAGCGAGGCCGCCACTCACTGCTGATCCTTCACTGGCCTTCTCTGCATGATCCTCTCCCACCAGCCCGGCCCGGGGGGTGCTACCATTGCCGCCCTCGGCACCCCGCGGCCCAGTGACATCCACTGGAGCACGACCCGGTGGCTGGGAAGCGGTGGAGCCCAGCGGCAGCGGTGTCAGGGTCCGCAGCACAGGGTTCGGTGGTCCGGGGCCCGGCGCGGCCTCAGCCGCCAGCAGTACCGCCATAGGTCCGCTAAGTGCTGGCAGTAGCAGCAAGGAGACGGGGATCAGGAGGCTGCAGATGTAGCAGCAGTGCGGGGCCTTCATTGTCCCAGGACGCTCTCTTAATGGGCCAGAGCGGCCCGGCCTGCCGCCCTGGCTCCAGGAGGGCCCATGAGCGCACGGAAGGACCAGAATGGAGTAATCAAATCCTGGCCTAAGGCCCGGCGGTAGCAGATGGTAAAAGCGATAGCAGCAGCAGCAGCCACCGAGAGAACCGGAAGTTCGTACATCTCATCAGCCACTGCTGTTACGGACGCTTTTGGTTGCTAACAGGTAGGGGCCGGGCGCGCTCAATGACGTCAACACGCTGGTCCTTCAGCAATGGGGTTTGGCTGAAAAAAAGGAACCTCAGTAGGTGGAGGATGTGCTCAAGTCCCTAATACTTAGCGGAAGTAGTGGTGGTGGAGTCGAGTAGCAAAACCGCAAGAGACAGGAACAGGAAGTTCATGGTTTTGATTCTCTGGTGCAAATCAGGCACCCCCCATGCCGCACCCCCATCTAGTCAGTAACACGGAACTTCAGTGTGAGCAAATGTTAATAAAAATCCTGATCTAGAAACAGAAATTAGTATTGGTCATTTTTAAAAATTATTTTAATAGATTCTGGATATAAGTCCCTTATCTGATATGTTATTACCGAATACTTTTTCCCAGTCAGTGGCTTCCCTTTTTACCCTACTGGAGAAG